GGGCCGCGCGCGGACCATGTATTTCCTGAGCGGCTGGCCCAAGAGGCTGCTCTGCGGGCCGCGGAGCCCGGCCGAGGCGCCGCTCCACGTCCAGTCGGACCCTCGGAGGGCGTTCTTTGCGGTGTTGGCCCCGGCCCGCCTCAGCATCTGGTACAACCGAGTAAGTAGACGCCGCGGTCTTTCCGCGCCGCTTGCTCCATCCCGACTTCATCCGAGAAGCCTCGGCCCCTTCCCGAAGTCACCCGAGCGCTCTCGGCCGAATCCCGGCTTCACCCGAGCGACCCCCACCCTGTCCCGACTTCGCTCGAGCAGCCCCATCCCCATCCCGACTTCACCCGAGCGACTTCAGTCCTGTTTCGGCTTCGCCCGAGCAGCCTCGGCGGGGTCGCGAGTTCACCCCGCGACCCCCGACCACAGACCCTCTCGAGCCCTCGGGAGTGCGCCGAGGGCCCTCGGCTGCCGGCGTCCCGGAGTCCTGCCGCAGCCGCGCACCCAGCACTGCGCTCACTTGGCCGAGCCCAGACTTGCCTCCTGCCCTCCTTCCCGGGAGCAAATTTGTTGAAACTTTACTCAGCACTCTGGCAGCTGTGGTGTCCCAGCTCCCCCTTGCTTTAAAGGTCTTGTTTTGGTGTTGAGGAAAGTCTGTCGGTCTTTACCCAGTGCCAGACTTTACAGCCCTGTAGTAACTGATGTCTAAAAACAGAGTTGGAGTTATTTTCAATATAAAGGTCTTGTTACTCAACTCCTCCCAACATCCCTTCCCCACTTGCAGGCTGAGTCTCATTCTCTGCTGTGCTTGGGCTCCAGAGAACTGCGGGTCCGGGTCAGCAGCAGAACGCAAATCTTTGCGGCATCTGGAAAGAATAAGACTTGGAGAGAACGTGGGGCAGGCGGAATGCGCGTCTTGAGTCCTGAGTTTTTCCTTTTTGTGTCAAAGTTCCTAGTAGATAAGAGAAATAACTAGAAAAGTCATGAGTGGGATACCCCCTATTCTGCCATTCCTGTTTACTGGAGGTCTGTAAAAACCACAGAATTCTGAGTATAAAATTGCCCCCCCCATCAGAGACAGTACTAATCGATGTCAGAGTGGTGGTCTCTTTTCAAAGATATTGGAGATTGATTGTGACCTTTCCCTTATTAGGTCTCTGAAATACTGATTTTAGTTTGGTTAAACCTTTCAGATCTCTGCTTGTTACTATTGGAATGCAGATAATGCCCTTGACTGTCCTTACATACAACCATGATAAAATGGATAGAATTTTGCATATCAGACTATTTGTTATTATGTTTTGGCTGACCTGATTTTCAAACGCATCAGAACATGGAAAGAAGGTTGCTATAAAATTCTAAGATCAATAATATGATACTCCGTTTGGTGCTTAATTTTTAAATACGTGTGTTGTGTGTCATTTGGTTCCTAAATGAGTCTCTTTTTCAACATACATTGCAACTGAATAACTTTTTATTTGCATGTAACTGTTAACTTTAAAGCTCATGCAGAAAGCATAATTAGAACTTGAACTTTATTTTCTAAAGTTAGTCATTTATTTAAATTGTAAAGCCTACTAAAATTGTACTTTTCTTACCTCTAAAAAAGAAAATCTGACTTATAATTTAGACAAATACAAGTTTAACATGAGGGATGAATGGACCAGAAGCCTGTAGGCTACCTTATTACCCCCCACGAAAGGAACATGAAAATGTACCTCAACTCTCTTAGGGATGATGTGAATAGTATTAAAATCTGTTGTTTGGTTTTGGAGTTAGATGCAATATATAAAAAAAAAAAAAATCAAAGGCAATTCTAGAACTTACAACTACTGCTTTCCTTCACACTCTTACTCTACACACACATCTGCTTTTCATTGAAGTGCGTGGGCCACTGTTGATAACTAATGTGTGAAAGTTAAGATTTTTCACACAGTCTCACACACACACAAATATAAATGCTAAAAAGTTATATATGGTATTGTGGTATTGAGTGAAAATTCTGGAATACCTTAGGGAGGTTAGTTACATGTCACTCTGGGTTTACATAATGGTTAACCTGGAACTCTGAGCACAAACTTTGTCACTTAGAAAATCAGGTTTGAATGAGGTGGTTCTAAAGCCTGATTATGTGGTTAGGTAAGTAGAGAACAGATGTCGGGCCCCAGCTTCCCAGTCTTCTCTTCCTGGGGTATGTGTATATGCCTTTTCTTTATTAAAATTTTTATTTTTTTATTTTTATGTTTATGAATGTATTGCATGTATGTATATGTGTACCCCTGTTGTGCCATACCCACGAAGGTCAGAAGAGGGTGTTGGAGTCTCAGAATTGGAGTTAAGGATGGTTGTTAGCCACCATGTGGGTGCTGGGACTTGAACCTGGGTCCTCTGCAAGAACAGACAGTGCTCTTAAACATTGAGCCATCTCTCCAGCCCGATGTCTGCTTTTTCTTACACTGTGAAAGAATTCATTTTAGTTTTCTCATTTCTAAATTTCCTATAACAATATGTATTAAAGTAAGTTTAGATAAATAATTAAAAATGAAAATATCTTGAAGTAGATCAAGGATGCTATCAGTTATACTCATAATTTGGAATAAATTGTTTTAAGATGTTTTCACTGAGAACGTGAACACTTTAATTTTTTTGGAAGGTTCAGGTTGCAAGGAAATTTTATAGACTAAAGTGAATCTTGAAGATACAAAGGATCTTACAGGGTTGAAGTGTTAGAGCTGCTTTAGGGCATTTGAGTCAGGGAAAGATGCTCAAAGGGAAGAGAGAATAAATAAAAAGATTTGCCTATATGTGAAAACTGATTACCCATGAGACTATGGAAACATTAAACCAAAATCTCTAAGAATAATGTATATATTTTATGGGTCTTGTAGTGAACTTTTATGTACCTTTTACAGCTACTATTATGTACCTTATTTGGAATTCCAGTGTTTTAGAGTTATATTTCTTCAGACTCACTTTCTAGCCAAATTTGAGAAATACACCATTGTGCTATTTGGGCTTGTTTATGAACAAAAGAATTTCTATAGATACTTGTACGTCTCCTTTTGATAAAGATTTTAAAATGGCATATTTTCTTAATAAAGTGTGAAGGGTTTATTGCTTTGTTTTCATTGTAATGTGTTAGTATAGATTTGCCTTTTCAACTTAGTGATTCTGATTTAGAGCTCTAAAATAAGTCCAGGAGCCAGCAAGATCTGGATAAATGATGGTAAAGGCACTTGCTGCCAAGCTCGACTAAAATAAATAAATAAATAAATAAATAAATAAATAAATAAATGTAATAAAATTCTGAAGAACTACTCAAGAGTCTATAATGGTATTATATATTTTGAAGCCCCAAATGGATGCTTGAAAAAGATTTAGAATTTGGCTTGGGGGCCCACCCAGTGCTTGGGATTAGAAGGATAAGGCAGGAATGTTTAGGCCAGCCTGAGCTTTGTGGTAAGCACCAGATCAGGCTGGGCTAGAGTAAGATCCTGTCAAGAAAGGGGAGGGGGTGATGGAGAAAGAGAAAGGAAAGGAAGGTAGGTTGGTTTAGTATTCATGTTAAGGTGAGGTGGCAGAGGTAGAACTTTATTGATGGGATGGTGTATTAGTCAGGGTTCTCCAAAGAAACAGAACCAGTAGAATGAATTTGTATAGAGATTTATCAGCTTAGCTCACAGGATAGAGTCCGAGTAGTCCAACAATGGCTGCACCATACTGGAGAGGCTGAGAATCTGTAGTCGCTCAGTCCACAAGGCTGGATGTCTCAGTAGTCCCAATCTGGTGCTGAAGGTCTGACAAATTCCAAAATATCAGCTAGTCTTCAGTCTACAGCAGCAAGATGAACTCACCAGCAAGAGAGAAGGCAAGCCACAAAAAGTCCCGCGTTCTCCTCTGCCTTGGTCTTTTATAACCTCTGCCATCAGAAGGTAACGCCCACATTTAGGGTGTGTCTTCCGGCTTTAGATGATCCAATCAAGAAGATCTCTTTCATTTCAGTTAATCTCAGATCCAATCAAGTTGACACCCAGGATTAGCCATCACAGATGGTTAATGTATTTCTGTCAAGAGTGTTATCAAAATATTTAGCTTAGAGGATGGAACTGCACTGTAACACAAAATCTGATTTGGTTTCAAATAATTAAATTACCTTGAGAAGTGCTTTTGACTACTAATTGTAAAAGGTGGCAGAACATGAAAGGAATGAAGAGGCAAATTATAGGAATATTTTGCCCAAAGATGTGTGTTAATATAAAGCTGAAATTGGCAAATCATCATTGTCTTACCAACAAATTATGTATTTGAGTAATGCTGAGCAGAAACTTGTATTCTTGTTGACGTATACTAATAATGAACTGTCCCTGTTGATGTGTACATGGAAAACACAATGAGATGTCTCAAGAAGCAAGCTGTAGGTATATAATTAGCTGTGTGTCCTCAAGAAGGCTGTTTAATTTCTGTTTTCTCAGGGTTCTCTTCTTTCTGTTCTGTTACCCCCAGAGAGCTTCCTTATAAATTTACAGGTTTGGCGTCTTCTAGGGTTCACTTTTTGTTAAAGGGTGAAGTTCAAACTCCTTAGTTTAATATCAGAGACATTCCCATCCAGGAATGCTCTCTTGCCCCACCTTTGCTTGTTAGTATATTATCTATCCTTCAGTTTCTGTTGCAATCGTTCTTTCTCTATGAGTCATTTCTTTACCTGCCATAACCGGAAGTGTTCCTTTGTGGATGAACTACTGTTTTGGTTTTTTTCTTCTAGCTTTATTGAAAATGTAATACTTAAGGTATATGATTAAGTATTCTTATATACATATACATGTGCAGTGATAACTACAGTCAAGCTAATATTAGGCACACCACTTCCCATAATTCCTTTGTGTGCAGTGAAAACATTTACTCCTGGGAGTTTGTCCTCTAACTTCTACATGCACACTGTGGCACATCCATGCCCCCTGTCATACACATGCACATAACAACAACAGTAATAATAAACTTAAAAATATCTACTCTCAGTAAATTCTAAGTATATAATATTGTTAACTGTAGTCACCAAACTGTACATTAGATTTCCAAAACTGCCTAGTCTTAGAACTGCAAGTTTGTATATGACCAAAGTCACCCTGTTTTCCCTAGTCCAACTTCTGGCAAGTTCCCTTCTGCTCTCTGTTT